AATTCTTTTTTTCATTTTCATTATTTCTTAATTATCGTATCGTATAAAAAAGAGGAGGAAGAAAAAAGACGAAAATAGAACAAACGTGGTTTTAACACCCTCTCTATTTATCATCTATCTATCTATCTATCTATCGTTCGTTCGTTCGTTCGTTCGTTCATTCGTTCATTAATTCATTCATTCGTTCATTCATTTATTTCGTCTTTATTTTCTTCTTCTTTTTCTTCAACGCCCAAATAGGCCGCAAAAAGAATCGTTAAGGCGAATTATTATTATTATTATTAATATTATTATTATTAATATTATTATTAATATTATTATTAGTGTTGAGAAGAGAATGAATAATAGAAAAAAAAAAACAATAAAGAAACATGTGATATATAAAAAGAAATGCAATAACGAGGATGCATTTCTTACATTTTTGTTGTTCTCTTAATTAAACGCTCGTTTTTCGTGAAAGAAAAATCCACACGTTTCCACCAATACACATCGTCATCATCATCATCATCATCATCATCATCATCATCATCATCATCATCGTTATCATCTTCATCGTCATCATTGTTATAATACGTGTGCAACGTATTCTTCTTCCCTAATGATTCATCGAATTTAATTTAAATGTTTAAATTGTAGCAACTTGTTAACGCTAGTACTCGCACTTATTAAAAGCAAACGCTCAGGCAGCTAGTGATTGGTCAAGTGTGAGCTTCTCCCATTTTGTTTTCTCTCCTTTTATTTTATTATTTTATTTTTGTCCTCTTCTTCTTTTTCGTCTATTTTGTAGAATTTTATATTATAATTCTTTACTTTTTCTTTTTTTTTCTATTTTTCCTTTTTACCATTTTGATACAATAAACACCACGTTCCACAATTTGTTCATCACCGTTTCTTCTCCTTGCATAATACAAATATTTAAGTAAACACGCGTGTGTCTTGTGTGTGTATGTGTAATGTGTAAATGTAATAAGTCAATGTATTTGTTTTATGTATTAAATGTGTACATATGTGCAGAGATGTATAGTAGGTGAATACTTTTAAGTATGATAATATATTTAATCATGTATAATGATGCCCACATTTTATTTTTCTTCATGAATTAACGCGATATGAATCGAGAAAGAGAGAGAGAGAGAGAGAGAGAGAGAGAGAGTATGTTAATCCTTTTGATTAAAAGGATATATTCTTATACATATTATGATGGTATGTATATGAAGTTGTGCCGAATATATAAATGCGTCGTCGCGCGCGGTGTCTGCGTCTTCCGTGTAAATCTTATAATTAAATTTATTATTGTTTATTAATTATTATTTTTATTCACGCATTCTCGATAAATGTTCGTACTAATCACCAACCTATACCTAAACCAAACCCTCACACACATACTTATACACATAATTCACGGAGAGACACGCGACGTCAATATTTTATGTATGAGAATAATAAAAGACTCGTTTATATTTCTATTTTAATCAAATGTTTTTTTCTTTCTGTTTACGTCTTGCTCTCATTTCTAATTGTAAGTTTTGATCCTTTTAAATATACCTACTTAGAAATAATTCTACCGTCGTGTTAAATAAAATTCGAAACGATACTAAACAAATTTTTTTCCTTTTCTTTTTTTTTTTTTGTCTCGTTTGCTTTTTTTTCCTTTGTTTTTTTATTATTTTGTTTTTTTCTTTCTTTTTATTTAATTACGATAGACGCGCGCGCAATCGTTGGAGGGAAACGAGTCTTGAATGGGGCCTAAGGCTCCTGGCGAGTTTAGTAGTAATTGGCTATGAACAATTGTCATTCTCACTTTTTTTTTTTTTCTTTGACTCTTCGATCGAACGCTCTGACCGTTCTCTTCTTCTTCTTCTTCATTTTTTTCTCTTCATTGGATAATTATTATAATAACTTATGGGATTCGTTAAAATAGCCTAACTAATGCGCATTCACTACATTCATCCCTTATAAGAAATATCTACGTTTATTTATTTATTTAATTAATATTATACTACGCGCTTTTATGATTCGTCAATTATGGTTCTTCTCGTCGCGTTATTATTCTTATTCTTATTATTATTATTATTAATATTTATTGGTAGTAATAATCGTCTTTCTCTTTCTTTCCCCCTCTTTCTTTGATACTCTTGTTATAATTCGATGAAATCTCATTTAGGCTTCGTACTTTAAATAGTCCTGGCCTATGAAAACTCTTTTTCTTTTAGCTGCTAAGGATTTGATCGACTCACATGGTCGAGCTACGACGATTTTTGTTCAGTTTTTTTTTTATACATGTATATTTAATGTATGTATATCTCTGTTCTGCAAGTGTGTTTGAATTCTGTTTGATTGACAGTCTTTTTGTTGTTGTTGTTGTTTTATTTGCGTATCAAGTGTGTATATGAGAATCTATGACGTGTCATGGTGTACCTTCATTTGTGAATCGATCTCTAGAAAGTCAAATTATAAAATTCGGATAATATCAAAAGCACAAGGAAACACGTTCTATTTGTATGTGTATTATGTTTGTTATGTTTGTGTGTGTGTGTGTGTTTCATATTTTAATAACAAAGCGAACAGTGGTTTCTCTTTTAATTTCTTCCTCTTCATCTACTTTACTTCGATGTTATTTTTCCAACGCCAGAAAGTTTTTTTTTTTTTTTTTTTCGTTTGGGAGATCTCTTTTTTTATTATAAAAATGTTAACGCGACAAAATCGTGCAAATCAAAAGTGTCTGGCATTGGAAAATGTGTAATCCATGTCTCGAATAAAGTTTCTTCGAGGAAATAAAAACGTTTTTTCGAAGTATCCTTCTTCATCTTCTTCTCTTCTTCTCTTCTTCTTAGTTAGGCGAGTTTTGTTGAATCCACGAACGAACTCAGCACCACCACCATCCCCACCCCCCTTTGAATTTTTTTTCTGACTTCGTTAAACACTTTCAAATTGATTTCGTTTTCTTTAGTTTCCTCTTTTTTTATTTTCTTTCTTATTATTTTTCTTATTGTCTGCCATCGGAGCGTCGACGTAGTCGAATAGAATATTTGTTCAACGTAGCGATCGTAATTTCAACCTTAAGACGAAATAGGCGACTACCCTTAGACCGAGTAAAAATCCGACAAGGGCGACTACGTCGACCCAATAAACGGTGTTTTCCATCGACATTTCTTCTAAAAATTTCGTCGGGCTCTTGAAATGGCAGTATGCATCGGAACACTTGAGCTTCGCACGATTATAACCGTATACAGAGATCATGGCACCTTCGAAACCGTATCTGATGTAACTCACGTATGAAAGGAACGTTAAATACGAAGGTATCGCGTTAAAGTTTACAAAAAATCCTGAGAATAGGACGATTGGGACCGATGATACCGGTCCAATGAAGACCCCACTCTGAAATCATCATTTTCGATTAATATATTTTCTATTATTTAATAGAAAAGTTAATGGGAGAGAGGGGGGAGGGAGGCTTACCTCGACGCTCATAGCAGCACCTATTAACAAACCGATGGATTGTGATACCAACGATGTTAATACGCATATATTTAGATACATGAGAAACCTTTCAGTCTCCAATGGTTGCGAAGTCATAAAGTAGACGATCATCACATAAGCTATGGAATAAATTATCTGAAAAAAAATCCAAAAATAAATGATTGTTATTCAACATTTAATAATTCATGACTCATATTTATTTGATTATACCTGAAACGGTAAGTCGGCTAAAGTTCTAGCAAAGTAGAAAGCTTTCAACGAATACCAATAATTTAAATGTTCTCTCACGAACACTGCCATCTCTGTAGGAACTGAAAAATATTAAAAAAAGATTCTTCAAGTATTTATATATGACACATGAGATATTTCAAACATGAATAATTTCTAATTTATCGCATGTGATATTGATATATAACTTACACGTGAGTATGGTAGGCATCATAGCAGTGAACATAAGAAACATCACAGTGAAAAACACGCATCCGGCATTACTCATAACTTTGGAGGCCTCGTTACCGATGTCGTAGTATATAGCACCGATGAGAAAACCAACGATTATGTGAGATATCAGCCTTGTTTTCGTTAATGTCTAACAATTCAACAACAACAACAACAACAAATAATTATAATAATAATAATACATTAAATATCGAAAAGAAAGATATTAATAATGATTAGAACAATTCTAACCATGTCTCTCAACTGCGAAAGGAATGTTCTCTTAAGTAGAATCCAAAATTGCACCCATCCATTGGTCGGAAATCCAACTTTTTGTTCTATGCTTTCAGCACTGTCCAGCAAAGAAGTCGTGCAAGAAATTGGCATATTAATGACTGTACCATCGGCGGCTGGTTTAGCAACACCATTTGGTATCAAAGTTGGTGCTTCTGGTTTAGTTTGTTCTTGAGTAGGTGATTGCTTAGCAATATCATTTGAAACCGTTTGACTTGCCGCTATCGCAGCTTGATGATGTTGATAATTATTGCATTTGCCGTTATTAACAGCCATTACCAATTTGTGAACGCATTCACCGTGTTCTCCGCATGCTACTTCCATAACTGTGACAGGACATAGGACAGACAAAGAGAATAAGAAAAATGAACAAAAAAAAAGATAGAAGATATTTTTTCTCTATAGCTTGTTGTTTGCCCTTTTTTTTTTTTTTTTGTTATCGTATCTTCGGGCAATCAACGACAGGTGTTATTTTATCTAATTGCCCAATCTTTACAGGTGTTATTTTTTTCACGATGTTTACTATAAATTTCTATATGTATAATATTAAAAAAAAAAAATGGAAATTTTACCGTAATCTGCTGGATTGTGATAACTTGGACAATCGAGACCCATCGAAGATAAAAATGGTACTAGACCACCTACGTTGCCTTGATATATACATTGTCCTTCGGCTAATAAATACAAATGATCGAACATCTCAAAAAGTCTTGCACTTGGTTGATGTATCGTACATATGATCGTTCTTCCTAAAACGAAATAAAAATAACAAGTTTGGCTTTAATTCTATAAGAATTTCTTTAAAAATGTAGATAATGTCGATACTTGTTCACATATCTCATCTTAATATCTATTCAGAGATATGATAAAGTATTTTTTTTTAATCTTTTTTTTTTTTTTTTTTTTGTTAAATTCTTTATTCTTTATTTTACAAACCTCCTCGACTCAAGGATTTTAGTAGACTTAAACACTGGAAACAGGAGGAGCTGTCTAAACCAGAAGTGGGCTCGTCAAAGAACATAACCGGAGGGTTATTGACGAGCTCCAAAGCAATCGACAGTCTCTTTCTTTGTCCACCACTGAGATTATGAGTTTGAGTATTACTGGCATCGCTCAGTCCAAGAGTCTCGATGATTTCTTCGATCTGTCGAGAGAATATTTTCACGAAGAAAATACAAATTTGCTGCGATAATACGATGTATACCAAATTGATAAATTTGTTAAAACATTCAAAGTAATGCTTACCACAACTTTCTTTGCCGTCGCACTGATGTCCTTTCCTAATTTTAAATTAGCAGACACCGTCATGGCCTCGTGAACGGTCAAATGAGGAAGCAACCGATCGTCCTGCATAATGTAACAGGACATTTTTCGAAATCTTCGAAGGTTTCTATCCTTTCCATTTATCAAAACGGATCCACTCAGATGAGACGTTCTAAAAATATATCAGATGATTTGGTGTTAAAAAGATCATGATGATGTTGTATTTATTTTTCGTAATAGGACTTACGACAAATACAAGGATATTTTTAGACAACATTGTGTATGTATTACGTGTAAATATGTGTTTAGGTAATATTACTCGAGGGTAAAGTTAGAGGGGTTGTCAACACAAGGAGCTAGTGTATATCTTTCCCAGACGACAAGGTATGGATGAATATAAAGGGTTCTACCCTTCGATAAATTTGTTCTAATAATTGTCCAACCAACCGTACAACAAGCCGTTTATCGCATTACGTTGAAAATCCAGACAAAAGGTCGTCGTCCTTTATCGAGGATCGAAAATAATCTTCAGCAGGGATTTCTTTCTTTTTTTGTTTCTTTTTTTTTTTTTTGTTTTGTTGATGATAAAACAACGTTACATTACTTACTTGTAACCAGCCAAAACGTTCATCAAAGTACTCTTCCCGGCACCCGATGGTCCCATAATGGCTGTCAATTCGCCAGATCTGAATTTTCCGTTCACACATTTTAAAATTGTCTTGTAACCTATAACCAACGAAAAAAAAAGACAAATAATACAAAATTAGTAAATTTAACAATTTATTATTTCAATGTTTTCAATCGAATTTATATATCGTCCGTAGAGAAAATATCTCAACTTTAATTTTATTTTTATACCAAATTATAGTTTGAACTTGTAAAATTGGGATAAAAAAAAAAAAGAATAATGGATAATCGTAATAATGGATAATGTCCTTTTTTTTGTTTTGTTTTACATATACATTTTACGTGTATATGTAGAAGATGATTATTTATTTATTTATATATATATAAAGTTAATCAGACTTCTGAATGACCTCTTTTACAAGGAGTGCGGTTGCACTCGGTGTAGTGCATCTGCGCCGAAACCGGAACCAGCCGGTACATTACTATCGATTCTTTCGGGCTAGGTCGTTCACCACACACGTTGGCCCAACGAAAAACCTATGCTAGGTTGCTGCACGCATCATCAAAAATTGTTCTTTTTATCTTTTCCAAATCTTAAGTCATAAATAATAAATCATAAATTTATCTTAACTCGATCATACTTTTACCAAAAGATAATAACGAAACCAATGATGATCTCTTGAGAAATAATAATCGATAACGATAAAGATTAAACATTATTATTAATAATATTATCATAAGCAATAATAATATCGTTCGTTTATTATTCTATCAAGACGTATTAACTCAATTCAAAGTTTATTGTAATTAATGACGACAATTACTTAAATTAATTTAATAGACCAAGAGAGTAATGCTTTATATACGTAATTTACCGACACGTTCACTTTATAACGACAATGATAAAAAAAGGAAAAAAATAGAGAGAAAGAAAGAGAGAGAGTGAGAGGGGGGTAAAGGCAGGAGGTAAGAAGAAGTTAACAGCGAGATTAATATCACCATAAAAATATGTACACTATAATCATGAACGATGAAAATTCTTTCAGTATGATCCTTTTATATAAAACATGTTAAATGAATCATTTCTCTCTCTCTCTTGTCAGTTTGAAGAAATAAAAGATAAGCAAAAGAAAAAAAAAACGGAAGCAAATTAATTCAATTAGGTCAGTCTTCAATTTAGTTTTAATATTAATAACAATAATTATTATTATAATGATGATGATGACGTTGTTGTTGTTGTTGTTGTCTTATTTTAAAATACTTGTTAAAAGAATATGAAAATAAAGTAGTCACCTCGTTTTCTGCCCTCGGAAACGCTGTAAGCGAGATTCTTAAACTCGATGTCAACCGGTGGCCTTTTTGGTAGATGCGTCAGCGAAACAGCCGGCCTTTTGTTTCCTTGTCCAGGACTGGCACCACTGTGATTTTGAACTTTCCTTGCTAACACACCTCCCGTGCAAGCTGTGCCCGCGGAACCGTTTGATGTGACACCATTGCAACTACACTGAAGATTGTTCTGCGAACCTCTACAAATAAAACGAAAAAGATTCCTATATGTATATATATATATATATATATACTAGGGGTGCACAGAGAACTCACAATCAGTCCGATACACACGTCTTTAAGTCAATTTGCAATAAAATAATATTGCAATTATAAATTGAGATATAAACTGTCCTATCTTTCAAGTTGAATGAAACTGCACACAGTGTGTAAAATTTGATTAAAATCGATTCAGTAGTTTAGGACTCCATTGCGGACAAAACGTAACACGTAATTTATATATATATATTAAGATGAGATATTCATAAAAAAAAAATGATTATTAATTCAGGATTATCAATTAAGGATTATAATGATCGCTGATAACTTAACTTCAAATCTAGGAAAGTAGTAATTAATTTTTTTTTTTTTTTTATGAAACTTTCTCAGATAATTCTCGTTGAATATTCTTGCGAGCTTCGTGAGAATATTGTGTAGTGTTCTTTAAAATAATACAACTTGATCTACCAGGGTTTTTTTTAATTATTTCAATATTATCAATATTTATTTCAATCATTAAATATATATTTACTTACTATAAATAACATTTTTTTTAAAATATTCCTCTACATTTTATTAATAAAAGAATTAATCGTATCAATTAAATTTATCTCTGATCTAATAATAGAATATCATTTGTTTAAGTACTACACCAAAATTAATTGTAAGTGTCATCGTTAACATTTTTTTTTCTATTCGATTGTAGTACGATAGTATTGAACAAATTTATAAAGATCTGATAATCCGTCTATCGTTTACTATTATCATAATAATTTTACTTCATATCTACACTTGTGAATCTTCGTGATCTACGATAAAGTATGAATAATAATTGTGATAAATTTGAAAAAAATGTCACTTGGTTTTTTTTTTCTTTTCACAAATTGATCTCCTTATAACAATTCTAAAGAAAACTATATATATGTCTAATTCAATTAGCATAAAATTATAGATAAATAAATTTAAAAAAAAAAACAATGTTATTACGGAAAATTTTCGTGCTTCCTCTTTCAAGATCATCATTTGAAGTGCATATAAAATTGTCTTACGCAATAACATGGACGATCTACGTTAAATGAGAACCGTGCAAATGGAAATAATATTTCGTGTTTTTTATTTTTCTTCTTTAGATCATTTCTTTCTTTGTTATACTTTAATTAAAATAATATTATTGGACGTTTAGTATCTTGATTGTTAAAATAATAATTAATGTTTTCAAGATGATTCGTTTTAATTAATAAAATATAATTTGATGTAAGTCGTCGATAGGGGAGGAGAAAAAATAAATCAAGAAAAAAAAAAATAATCGTTTTTATCGGTATAATTAAATGCATACCATTCTCTCGTAGATTACTCGTAGATTAAAAACGCAGCAATAATATTGTATTGCAATTTTAGTATCGATTTTATAAATGAATTTCTTTTTCCATTAAAAATGTAAAGTAAATGTAAACGTTGATGATGAGTAATGAAACGTAACATTTCACGATTGTAATGTTTTTTTTTTTTTTTTTACGACAAAATGCTAATGGTATAATAAAAAGAACAAATCTTCAATCTCGTTAAAATTATGTTGTTTTTTTTTT